TTTTTTTGGGGGGAAACCTTTTGGGGGGGGGAGTTGATTTTTTTTTGGGGGTGGGGAACCCCCCTTCGGGGAAAGGGGGGGGGTTGGCCCCCCGTTGGTTAAAAAGGGAAAAGATTCCTGGGGGGGTTTAAAAGGGGAAAATTTTTTTTTTGGGAGGGGAAAGCCCCGGAAATAAAATTAATTTTTGGGGGGGTTTTTTCGGTGGGAAGGGGGGAAAGCAAAAGAGGGGGAACCCCTTGGGGGGGGGGGGGGGCCCCCCCCTGGGGGTTGGCAAAATACCCCAGGGGTTTTGGGGTTGGGGGATGGGGGGGTTGGGTCGGGGGAAATTCGGAAGGGTTCCTTCCGGGGTTGGGGGGGGGGGGGGGTAAAGGGTTTAAGGGTTGGGGGAGGCGGGATTTGGGGTACCCCCTCGGCCCCCCCCCCCAGGTTCGGTTTTTTGGAGGGGGGGGGGAAAAGGGTTTAACGGGGGGGGAGGGAAAAAAAAAGGGGTGGGCCCCCCCCCCCCCCCCCCACCCCTCTGCGTTTCCCGGCGAATCGGTGATCTACGCAAGGCCCGGGCTCAGCAGAGCCTGAACGACCGAGTCTCCAACGAGGAGAGCGCCCTCCGGCTGGGTCTCGCCAACTCGGAGCAGAACGTCGAGGCCCTGACCTCGCGGGTGTCCGGCCTCCAGCGGACCGTCGAGTCCCAGTGCGCCGCCCTCCAGCGCTCCGAGGCCTACCTCTCGACCGGCCGCGAGGAAGCACGGACGTTGGCGGCATCCCTGGACGCGGCGACCGCCCGGGGGGACGCCCTCGAGTCCGACCTCGCCGCCCTCCGCGCGCTCACGGGGGCCGCCACCGGGGAGTTGCGGGAGGAGGTGGCGTTGCTCCGGGCGCAGGTCGACGGGGCCGAGAGGACCGCGGCCGAGCTGAAGGCGGAGGCGGAGGCGGCGACCGCCGCGGCGGCGGCGGCCAGGGCAGCGGCCGACGAGGCGAGACAGCAGGAGACAGCGGATGCGCTCTCTGTGCCTAGTCGCCGGGGTGCTGGTGCTGTCGAGCGCCTAGTTGACGGCAGCAGCAATCCCGCTCGGACCGGGGAAGGCGACGGCAACGACGAGGACATCTGCCTCTCGCGCCCCTCCGTCCACAACACCCGCCTGCGGTCCCTTGGCCTGGAGCTGGAGTCCGTCGGCCTTTTCGCGAGGGAGGCCGTGGCGTTCGCCGTGCGTGTCAGCGGCTGGGCCCACCCTTCTCCCCCCCCTACCGGAGGAAGGGACGGGGGCGGCGACGGCGACGAAGGCGATGAAGCCGTGCTCGGAGGACGAGACGCCGGTGTCGGCAGAGCAGTTCTCCCGGAAGCGGAAGAGAGGGAGGAGGAGGGGTCGAAGGCCGACTTCGTGGGGGGAGGGGGAACGCAACACGATGATGATGATGATGATTATGGTGATGGTGATGGTGATGGTGATGAGATCGGCCGGATGTTGGTGGTGGCCGGGCGGGCGGCCGCGGACGTGGAGTCCGTGCGTCGGGCGCTTGTCGTCGCCGAAGAGAAGGTGAGTCCCACGCGTTACGGAATGAGCCGGGATAGCGAGGGCACCACGGCATGTAGCCGGTTCAATGTAAAGCTATAGCCAGGGCATGGTAGATCCCGCTCGGTGCGTAGTTCTGGAGCGAGTCTGCTGATCTGAGAAAAACAACGGCAGTGTATACCCTATCCTCGCAGAGCGCCGTTGTGGACATCAAGTAAGGTTACAAGATATTTATGACATTTTGTTCCCGAACCAAGTAGACAACCGTCCGGCCAAAATATCTACCGTATGCACAGGGACACAACCGCACTGATTTTTTTTTTGTTTTTCGGCAGATGGTCGGCATGCAGGCCGAGGTTGACGAGGCTGTCCAGGAGACAGACCGTCTTCGAGCGGAGAATGCGGCGTTGGGAGAATCCCTCTGCGAGGTATGCATGTTCACCAGCAGCAGCAGCAGTGGCAGCCAGCCCCCTCGCTGTCCACCACCCCGCACGGGCAGTAAACCGCTGGCTAGGTTAGCCTACGGTACCGTGGCGACGGTGCTTGTCTTGCTCGTGTGGTATTCAGCTGTAGTGGAGTCACAAGTAGCGTAGCGGCCTTTTCGAGACCTGTGTGCGGGTGGTGTGTCTGTTTTTGCTGTTGCACCTATTTGCTGTACATGTGCAGTGTGGGAGGTTAGGGTTAGCGATGCAACGTAAGCGCTACCGCAGTCACCGAGACGACTCCTACCGGCACAACCTCGGGGGGGGGTTGAGGACCTGGTCGTCGCTCGGTCGTACTGTAACGCCAACAAACGAGACCGACAATTTTGCGCACGCCCGACCGATAAACCGCGGGAATAGCCTACTTATGCTTTCATGGGACAGGACTGGTGACTGAGACAAAGGCAACGGCCCCGCTGACATTGAGGAGCAATCGCGCGCCTCCCTGCTGTCCTACCCGACGACTCATGAACCCTGGAAGACAACCCGCTAACCCTAGCCCTAGCCCGAAGACACGACGAATGCCTCTTTGTTTCTCCCACGCGACAGGTTGCCGACGCCATGTCCAAGAGCCTGCCGACGCGGGACCGGGTACCCTTGACGGAAACCGGTCCCGACAGCGTATCCCCCGCCGCCACCAACTCTCCGCTAGAGACCCCCCACCACCGACTCCCCGGAGAAGAAGAAGAAGAAGAAGGATTCGAGTCGGCGGGAGTCAGCAACGCTGCTGCCATCGCGCGGGAATCCCTGCCAGACGATACGTCTACGACGGCGAAGACGGCGACGACGACCGCCGCTAGAGTGTCGGCGAACCTGGAGGCGGCTAGGGCCGACGCTCTCGCCCGAACGAACGCGTACCTGCGCGGTCTCCTCGACAACCTCGTCGTCGCCAATGGCGGCGGCGACGGTGGCGGCGGATTCTCCGCCGAACACAGCAACCCTGCCGCAACAATACCGGAGCAAGAGGAGGAAGCAGGAGGGGGTTACGGCGGCGATGGGGGAGCGGACGAGGGGGGTCACCTTCACGACTTCAACGGCTCGGTGGAGAACCCCCGCCGCCGCCGGGGAAACTCGCGGCGGTACTCCTCCCGCTTCGTTGGCGTGCAGCAGCAGCACGAAGCGGTGTCAGTTGCGCCGCTTCGTGGCGGGGACGGGGCGGAGGAGCGGTCCTCGCCTTCGCCTTCCTCTGGCCTCTCGCGGGCGTTACGCTCTCTGGTCGATGCTCTCCAGGAGAGGGACGCCAGGGCTCAGCTGCTCGAGGACGAGGTGACCCGCGTGCGGCGGGGTGCGGTTGCCGCCGCCGAGGCTGCTTCGATGAGAGCGGAGGTGGGAGATTCGAACGACAGCAGTTACAAATATCTTTTTTTCCTTTCGGTCAGTCGTGTTGGCCATGAAAAAGACTGGTGAAACACCCATACCAGCAACTTTGTTGTTCTAGAAGCCCACCATATGTCTACCACCCTCGCCGCATGATTCCCTCTGAACAAAAGGTGGAGACCTTGAAAGCATCCCTTGCGGCGACCGAAGCCGAACGCCTGGAGCTGGAAACCCTCTTGGAGGATGCCTCACACGGGGCTGAAGCAGCTTCTCGAGACGCGAAGGCACAGGTGGATGCGTTGAAGGCAGAGCTGGAAGCTTCCGGGAGAGAGGTGGCTGTCGCCAGCGAGGAGAGGCGCCAGATCGAGGTAAGGCATTGCTGTTCTACTGCTGCTGCTGATGTTGTGCTGCTGCTGCTGCTGCTGCTGCTGCTGCTGCTGCTGCTGCTGCTGCTGCTGCTGCTGCTGCTGGTGATGTGTTTTTTTTTGCTGATGTTGTTGTCGTGGTTGACGTTGTTGTTGCTGTGTGGCCGTTCTTTGTTGAGCTTGCTGTTGCCGTGTGTGAGAGGTGGTTCTTCTCCTCACCGTTGCGCTAGGTCCAACGTGCTTCGTTTTTCATTGCGGCTGCCTTTTCGCCACATAGCCCTTTCGCCATTCGTCGATACCAAACGGTTCAAGATCACATCACCCATGACTGTCGGACCCACTCCCCTGGTGCCCTCTACAACAACAACAACAACGACAAACTCATGCAGGAGGCGTTCGCCGACGGGCAGGAAGGGTTGCTGGCTCTACGAGAGGCCCTTGGGCGTACCGGTGACGCAGCAAGGGGTCTGCTTGAGAGAGCGGAGGCGGTCACGGCGGACGCTGAAGCCGGAGAGGTGAGGGGGAATTACGCCGCACTTATGAGTCACGAGCAAGCGCTCTATGCCCATGTCAGCCTGGATTATATTTTATGTCCAAAGGACGGCACAGTGGAAGCATGGACAGAGT